GTGGGAAAATCACAGCGATCTGGAAGGAGCCAAGTGAAAGGCAGATCTCTGTCATAAGTCGAACAGCTGCCCGTGACCCTCACACGGCGGGACCGGTGGGCCATGTGACCGACTGACCCCCCCCCCCTAAGACCTACGAAAGCAGAAGAGACCCGGAATAAGAGGCTCCAACCGAAGTCCCACTGACGATGTTGCCTAGCCTGGTGACGAAACGCCTGGAAACTAAGGAAGCTCAGAGAAGCAGCAGAGGGGTCTCTTTGGAAGACCCCTCCCTCCGTTGAGACGAGGAGAAAGGCGGCGTTTGGATACAGGGCAGGGTGAGAACTGAGGGAGTGAATGAAGGACCCCAGAGGACTCTTCGGTCTGGAAAGTCTCCCTTCCCTGCGTCCGAAACTAATAAACACTGGATGGGAAACGCAATCCTCAATCTGCTATTCTTTGGCCAAAGTCTTCCCAGCTGGCTCCTTCTAGAGGAAATGGGCCCCCTCTGGACACAATAGGCACTCTTGAAGTTCACCTAAAATAATTTGCTTCATGTTGCCACTCGGACAAAATATCTTGAGAATCCATGATGGGGGGTTGCTTTGAACACTGTCCACCTGTCTTTGGAAGGCAAATGGAGATTCTGCTGCAGGAGCAAGAATGGACTGGGGGGAGTTTTTAGGAAAGGGATCCAGAGGCCGAGGACATCAACCACAAGGAGGCAAAGTTCACTTCGGTGGCTGAACCTCCCATGTGGACGCAACGGGCAAGGGGGCCTTTTGGGAGGTGCTCAGCTCTGGAGAGATTTGGAAGACGAGGAGGGGGGCAGAAATACCCTCACGCATAACGTGGGCCATGCGTCACAAAGAGAGACCAGGCCAAACATTGCGGCTGCCAGGAGCTCCAATGGCTGCTCTGTATCGTTCAAGAAAAATGCCAGTTTCCCCCCAAGGTTTTCAAGACAAGACCTGACAGCTGTTTGTCCAAGATGATACAAGCTGTCCTGCCATGAACAGGGGGCTGGATTGGAAGACAGCTCCCCCCCCCCCCAAGGTCCCTTCCAGCCAGGCCTGGGATTCTGCATGAGAAGGTCTGGATCTGTCCGATTGTGGCCATCCTACCTCACCCTCCCACTCCGTGGCCTCGAGCGAAGCCATAGGCAAGCGGGCTGGTACTTTGGGCATCTCCCTTGGCTCCTTTCCTCCTTCTTCCCATCACAGAAGATGGAAGCAGCAGCAGCAGCAGCAGCACGTGAGAAGATACGGCCGAAGCTCAGGCCAAGCCCGGCTCCACTCCGAGGTGGAGAGGAGACCTCCTTCCAGGGTCCCATCAGGAGACAAAGCTCAGAATGCATGAACAAGGTCTGTGGGGGGCTTAGCCAGTGGAGGCTCACAGGCCGAGGGAGGGGTCTCCTAAAGGGCAGTGAGGAACAGGCCCACCTGAGGACCTGGGTGGGAAACGTGATGGGCCATCCAGGCACGAGAGTTGGGTCCCCACTGCTGATAAGACCCTCCACCAGCCTGACCTGCAGAGGAAGCAGGGGCTCAGGGGCTGCCCAGGAGGAGGAAGCGGCGTCTCTCAGAGGACGTTAGAGTCCCCCAAGCAAGTGGGGGAGGCGCCTCCTGGGGTCAGGGGTCTTGGGGCTCTTCCTTGGGGAGAGAACAGTGATGGGTCTTGTGTGGGGCTGCAGAATCCTCTGTGGCCCAACCCCCTTTCTCCCCCCTTCCCCAAAAATGCTTTGCAGGTGGGGCACCCCTCCCCTCCCCATGCTTCTTGAAGCCAGCCCCGGCTTCCCCAGACCCCAGGGCCCCCTTGGCATCTGACTGCAGACGGGCACTTCCTCCTGGGATTCCGGGCCACAGAACATCACCAGACAAGATATTGACATGCTGGGTTGGGGTGGGGGGGCTGGGGAGGGACACAGCCACACAGCCCTGCAGGCCCTGCCCTCCCCCTCCCAGCAGCCCCCCAGCACACTCAGCAAGGAGCAGCAGCAGCAGCAGCAGGAGGAGGGGGGATGGGGGAGGGAGGAAGACTGTTGCTATGAGATGAACATGCTCACTTACACAGCTTGCCCACCCTCCTGAGGCCTGAGGCGGTGCTAGACAGAGCAGCCGAGACATGCAGATGGGAGAGCAGGAAGAGAGGCAATGAGAAAGAGGTTAGCATCCGTCCAAGGCACCGGCCAACACCCCAAGAAGCAGCAGCAGCAGCAGCAGCAGCAGAGCCGGCCGGAAGCTCCTCCTTCGGGGTCCCTGCCGCTCCCGGGAGTCCCCTCCTGCTGCCCGGGGGCAGGGGAGGGAGAAGGGCGGAGGAGCCGGGCTGACCTCAGGCTCCCCGGGGCTGCAGGGACCCTCTCCCTTCCCCAGCACCCTCCACCTGGCCCGGGAGACAAGCAGGGGCCCCCGTCTGCCTTCCCAGGCCACGGAGGGCCAAGGGCAGCCCAGTCGCGGCCAGTTCAACAGCCTGCGTCCCATTCCATGAAGGAGATGCTCACAACCACAGATGTTCAACAGCCAAAGCCACTGTGAAGCTCCGGGCGGAGGGGAGGGGCTGGGGAGGAGGGGCTGGGCCGGGGAGCAGAGAGAGAGAGAAGGAAGGAAGGAAGGAAGGAAGGAAGGGAGGGAGGGAGAAGGGGCCTTGTGGGCAGCAGGTCCAAAGGAGAGCAGCGTGTCCTTCTCTGCGGTTCCTGCTAAGCTCCCCAAGGGTGGGCCAAGGAGGCTGATCCAGCTTTGCCAGGTTGGTGGTTGGAACCGGGGAGCCTGTGTGCCCACGAGAGGCAGCCTCTCTGGGCGAAAGGGAATGAATGCCCCTGGAAAGACCCCCTGGATACGTCAGGAGCTCTCCGCTGCTGCCCGGGAGCCCCAGCCCAAAGAGCGGTGTGTGTGTGTGTGTGTGTACCTTTGGGCCCTACAGAAGGCAGTGCGTAACCTCCGAGTGATTTGCTAGAATCCCCCGGGTGAGGTGGAAATGCTGTAAATAGTAGATAAATATGCAGCCGTTTCTGAGGGCAGCCAGGAGGAGAAACACAAACAGGGGAAAAATTTCAGCAGAACTGGAGGGGGGGGGAGATGCTTGGGGGGCTCTTCCTGATCCTTGCTGGAGGAGACCCTCCTCCCCTCCCCAAGCCCCCTGCCCCAGCTTCTTCAACTGCCCCCAAGGTCCCTGATCTCCTGCCAACCGCTCGCAAACCGTGAATCCTCCCAAGTGGACGCTCCAGAAATCCCTTTGCCTCCCAGACTAATCCAGGCGGACGTCCACAAGGAAACCAGTGGTGGAACCCAACTTTTTTTGCCACTGGCTCTTTGGGCGTGGCTGGTCATGTGATTGGATAGGGCGTGGCCAACTTTCCCCCACTTTTTAAAGCATTTCCCCCTACCTATTCACTTTTCCTTTGCTACCGGTTCTAGCGAAGCTATCAGAACCGGTATCCTTTCACCCCTGAAGGAAACCCTCCACTCCAAGAGCTCTTCAGGAAATCCCTCCGAGCACAGCCTGGTCTCTGGGCTCCCTCGGCCAGCTGTGAAGACAAGAGGACCAGGCAGGCAATGTGGGCCACCAACAGGCCAGCTTTAGCGGATGGAAGCAAATATACGTGGGCCGGGATAATGTTGCACGATCCAATCTGAGTCAGTCACCGGGAACAGAGGTTTATTCCTCCAAGCTTTTGAGCTCGTGCCGGCAGCAACTGGATATTGTTTCCTTGTGCCCACCCCCACCCCCACAGTTCCTAAGTACCTGATAAGCTGGTGGTAAATCAGCATTCCTGTTGACTGCCAAGGGGTCTATTTCCCAGGCTTCAATGTTTACTCTGGCTATTTTTGTCCCTGCTCAGCCAACAATCTTAGTAGCTGCAAAATTGAATGCACATCCTTGTGCGTTGCAATACAGT